TCAAGTAATTTTATTTTGTAAGATATGTTGACATCAGTCATGCCATGATCGTTTCTATGGAATGTAGCATAGTTCCATCAGCTGGATTGCAGGACAAACTTCAGGGTTTTTCAGAAGATCTGCTTCTGATGCCTCGATAGGCGGCTAGTAGTGATGCATAAGTTAGTTGTTTTAAGAAATGATTTTGTTTGCAATTAAGTTAATTCAAAGGCAGATATTTCAAGCCCATACATATAATGCTTTAGAAGAGACTATAATATAGTATTCATGAATGCTTGATCTAGATCAGGGGTCTAGCCCATGGGCTGGATGTGTGATGCACTGGCCATGCCTATGCCTGGTTTAGCGAAGGGGGAAAAAGTTGTGATTCATCATGTGACACCATACTGATGTGAGTTTGACACCCCAATCTAGATTAAGCCTGTAGAACAGATTTTTTAAAAAAAAAATGTATGAAAGAAAATATATATTTCTTTTCATTGTCTATCTATTTACCTATCATCTATATCTATCAAAACAGGAATATTTTTACTAAACAGGAGTTAGTTGTCTGGATGGACTTTGTATGGACAGTTACACTTGGACTTGCAAATTTTTGTATTGAATCTGAAACTTGATCAAACTTAGCTTGGTGAAAGGGTACAAATACACACATGCCATCATCTGAAATGGAATATGAACAAGTAAAATAGGTAAATACTATATTTGTGAAAAGCTGGGCATGAGTATGGTTGTAGCAAATGATAAGTAGTCCATGAAGGGAGAGAGGAAAGCCATGGATATGTGGGAAAGTTGCAGTTGCAGTTACCATTCACCGTCTGAGTGATATGGCTGATGAAAGATGTTCTTTCAACATATTATCAACCTTGAACATATTATCCATTTTCCCAACAGACCCTGAATCCCAGAGAAAGAGGACAGTACAAAATGTGCTCGATCTGCGGCAGAACCTTGAAGAGACCATGTCCAGTTTACGGGGCTCCCAAGTAACTCACAGGTGAGTTCTCTGCTCTTGGTTCCCTTTGCTTTTGGCTAAAGCACTAAAGTGACATTTTGGCGGATTAATATAAATCAGTTGGCCAATTTCTGTTTGACCTTTTATTAAATCAAAGGGCAAAAGCACTTAGCATGGCTCATCTAGTAAAAATCAAAAAGCACCTCTATCCTAAAGGATTAGGATTTTGAAAGCTGGCATTAGAAAGGCGGGTGTCCTATTTTCCATATACCCTGCTCTTTTCTGCAGACCCCACTAACATAAGATGCTGATTTTATAAAATTATTCAGTTCTTTTAATTAAGTCAATTCTGTTCTTTAATCTTGGGCCTCCTCTTTTCTGCATGCTGTGATCTGTGTTAATGGTATTAGGATGTATTTTGATGTTGACAGCAGTGCAATTAGCCTGTGTTTTGATTCGGAAAGTCAAGGCACATTTATTCAAAAACACCAAATACTGTATAAGTGTTTCTAAATTTAGAAGATTGCTTCACACCAAACTGTACCCCTAACGTGTTAGGCTTGTTTTAATTTAACCTAATGTTTGAATCCAGCTGTTACAACTTAGCCTTACATGTGAAGCAACTGCTATGGCTTAATCAACAAACCATGGTTAAAATATTTGGTTTCATCAATAATCTCTATAGCAGTGTTTCTCAACCTTGGTGACTTTAAGTCCCGTGGACTTCAACTCCCAGAATTCCCCCAGCCAGCTGGCTGGGGGAATTCTGGGAGTTGAA